AATGTTCCGGAAATACTGCGTCCTTTAAACATATATAAAATTAAAGCTTATTTTATGTACTACAAAATGAAAAAAAAAAATTTTTATACGCAAATGGCTACCATATTCAAAAATATGCTATTTTTGTATGAAAATTATGGGTTTTGTATTTTATTTTAATAGAAGTTGATGTTGCTTTTGCAATTATCCAACAATTTTTTAAAATTAAACACTATCTACAGATTTGCATCGAAGCGTTTCTTATGATAGTGATTTTAATCACTGTCAGATTAAATCTAGACTGAACCCAACTATGCAATGTCTCCACTATGCCGCGACCCCACTGTGCTACCGTTTTTTTTTTTTAACTTTATAATGCTATGACATATTTAAAAGTATATGGATCAACACAATTTTTTTATGAAAAATAATATTTTTTAATAATCCCTTTTTCATTCGACATACTTTATCTTAATCAGGATATTAATAAGGAACTAGCAGATCATGTAACTTTTGGAATAATCCACCAATTTTTTAAAATTAAACACTATCTAAAGATTTGCATCGAAGCGTTTTTTTTATAGTGATTTTAATCACTGTCAGATATCATTATACCTGACCCAACTATACCACGTCATCACTATGCCGCGAACACCCTGAGCTGGTTTTTTTTTTTAATGTGTTGCAATACTTATTTCCAGTTTCAAAACGAAGCTAAGAAGTTATTATTTTTACTATGATTTGCATTTTTATGACTGTTCATAACAATTTTCAACTTTCAATGAATTGATTTTGTTGGTTTATGCGTCAAAAGATCCCCATTTTAATGTTGTTGAATCTAAGTTTTAAAATTACTGATCCAAATGAAATTTAAATCAAATATACTAGAAACAAAAAGGTTTTCCTTTTGTACAAATTTTATGAAAATCCCTAATGAGTATATTAACTCAAAATAAATATAACATTTATGGATATTGAGCATGAGGATAATTGATATACTATGATGTTTATTAAATACAATTATATAATATAATTTTTTCTCAGGGTGCGAGTACAAGAGTTTTATGAGAAGATGTAAAAAAATAGAAAAACAAAGTGAAATATGAACATTTATTAATATGATCATAATTTTAAATAGAAATCGTTGTAATTAGTTGTTACACTTTATGTATCAATAACATCACTCATACCTGTAATTATCTAAACTTGTGTTGACTGTGAGTCATGTCAATAAATACTTCGAGTAGTATAGGAACTACAAGTGGGTTGTTTATCTTAGTAAGAGAATCAATAATGATTCTCTTAACTTCTTAATGTGTGTATTGACCACACAGGTAACCCACTCAAAGATTGGACTAGGCTGATTATTTTCGTATAAACGTTATCGACTTTATTTATGTCAACAATATTTCATACTAATATTCACTTAGTTTTTCTGATTTTCTACTTAATTTATGTTTTATTACACTTATTTAAAACTTTATAATTCTTCTATGAAATGTATTCGCAGATACGCAACATTTATTGTCAATTATGACTTTTATCAACAGATATGCTTAAAGTGTGGCATATTGACGTGAGTTAACATTTATAAATATACCAACTAACAATACAGAAAATATATATGTTGATAGTCATAATTTACAATAAACGCTCAGTATTTATGATAGCGACATCATAAAAAACCAATTAGCTACCTGTTTTTGTAATACCTCATGTATTATACATGTATATTAAGTCAAAAATTTGAAACTTTAAAAATTTATATCTCATAAACGAATAAAGTTATGTTGAAAATTCAAATGCCACATTTACTATTAAAAAATCCTAAACATTTTATTAAATTCAAAATGT